AAATCAAATTGTTTGATTCGGGATTTTAGAATTCGGGAAATTTGTAATTCGGGAATACAAAAATTCTGTGCCGGTATTCTACGACTTTCCGACAAAATCGTTCGGAATTATTTTTTTCGTACATAAGACCATATTGGAGTGAAAGAGAGAGATTCCACTTTTTTTCAACGGTCCACCAGAATTATTCCGATAATTCAAGGAAGAGTGAAATGTGTGAGAAATAATTCCGGTGGACCGCTGAAAAATAGTGGAATCTCTCTCTTTCACTCCAATATGGTCTTATGTACGAAAAAAATAATTCCGAACGATTTTGTCGGAAAGTCGTAGAATACCGGCACTGGATAATTTTTCCGGGAAAAGACTCTTCGGGAAACAAAATTTTCGGGATTTTTGTTTCGGGAAAAAGTTGTTCCGGGAAATCGTTTTCGGAAAATAGCGAGCGAGAGTGAAGGTTCGGTGCACGGTGCTGACGCTTTGGGGCTATTTTAAATGGGAACTGTCAAGAAACCGCAGTGTTGATATTCATATTCTATGAAGTTACGAAAATGAAGTTGTGCTGAATTTAATTCTGTTAACTCTATTTACTATTATACGACCATTCCACACGAAATCGACCAAGAATTGGATCGACCCTCTCCGAATTGGCTGAAAATAAGAAATTCAAATTCCGTGTATTGACCATTCAATTTTTTGATCATATCTTATTTTTCAGCGTTTTTGTGGAAAAAATGGTCGAAAATGGCCTCTTTCGATGTTTTGATCTGAGAAAACTGCTATTTTTTCGTCAAAATACATGAAAATATGAACACTTGAACATCGGTTTACCTATAAATTTGGTCTGAAATCGACATTTCTCCATAAAACAAGCGAATGGTCAAAATCCGCATACGAAATCACAATTATGGCATAGAAAACTCACCTACGGTGGCCTAGTATGAGTCTATTTCCATGTAATTTTGAACGGAGAATTGATTTAGACTTATCTCAATTCTGTTTCATGAGCCTAAAATGCCGAAAAATGGCCCTGTTCCATCTTATGTTTTCAACTCGCCATATTTTATACAGAAAATCACTTTTTCTACTTCAAAAATGCCTTATTCTGCGTTCCAACATCAATAACTTTTATTTTTTGAAGAAATAAACCAAAATATACCAAATTCTTTACTCAATTCAGAGTTTTATGTGTAAAATCTTCATTTTGAGTGAATTTTCCAATGAAAAAGTCGATTTGATACCAAATTATAAGCAAATGGATATATTATTGTTCATAGACCCCCATTATTTTTCAAAAATAATAGCAGTTTTTCTACATAAAAGTATCAAATTATGCATATTTTAGGTACATCCCCGACAAAATAACCTTTTTTTGGACCAGGATCTACTTTCCGAGGCCAAATACAAAAAATTGAATGGTCAATACACGGAGTTTGAATTTCTTATCTGAAGCGGCGCGACATGGACCATCTTTTGACGAGAAATAAACATGTCAAAAAACACCACTCTTTTGAGATATTTCACTTTTAGTACTTTGACTCCATTTTTGGAGGCCCCAATGGGGTCAAATTGGGTAGGTGACTTCGCAATTTTTGTAGCCCCATCAATTATCTTTCCAACGGTACCAATGATTTGGTAATGTGTCAACTACTTCTTAGTTAGTTTTCAGTTGGCACAAACCCTTTTTTCGATTTTTTCAATTTTTCGAAAAATTTACACTGGGTGAACTCAAAAATGTGGGCCACTTACAGGCCTAAGATTTTGGTTTTCTCATTTTCTACCGAAAACAAGACTCCAAGCAAATTTTCAGCCAATTCGGAGAGGGTCGATCCAATTCTTGGTCGATTTCGTGTGGAATGGTCGTATAATTTTTCAATTTCGGGAAATTGAATTTCGGGATTTTTTTTCGGAGATTTGATTTTCGGGATTACATTTTCTGGAAAATCATATGTTCGGGAAAAAAAGTATGCGGGATTTTTTTTCGGGAAATTGTCTTCCCGAAAATTGGCATTTTCGGGATTCAGTTTCGGGAAAAAAATCTTTCGGGAAAAAGTATTTTAGGGAAATGGTGCGGCAATCAAAATTACAGCTCCGTCTTTGGTTTCTTGGCATAGTCTTCTTTAATAAAATCAGCTCCGCGTTCGCCTATGTAAATGGCGGCAGCATTTGTATTGGCACTCACTATCTCGGGCACTGAAAAGAGAAAAAGCATCATATAATTTAATAACACATTTGTGTGTGACTCAGTTGCAAATGACTTACTGATTCCAGCATCGATTTGTCTCAATCGTTTCACACCGCGAACATTTAGCCGTGAATCTACAACGCCATCTGAATCAGACATTCTGCTGGTGCCAACTGGATGATAAAGTGTTGAGCTAAAATGCTTAATATAACAGCGTAAATAATCGTCGGACTTAAATTCGAATTTATCACATTCTTTCAACGGCAACTTCAGAAATTCGCCCTCATGTTTGCGATAAGTGTCGGTATTCTCGAAAGAGATTTGCTGTTTCACGGCACGTAACATTGTAATCATATCCTCTTCATTGCTGAAGTATTTTGGCACAATACGTGGCTTATCTTTCGGCGAAGACGATTTCAGTTCGATGAAACCTGTTGATTGTGGCTGCAAAAGTGTTGTCTTTATAATTACAATGTCAGCTTTTGAATTCGCTTCGAGTATTGCCTTTTCAATGGTTTCATCGTATTTTTTCAATTGCAGATGCGGTTTGAGTTTCCAGGAATTTTGTTCCAACATCTGAACATGGAATTCAATATCCGGTTCGCCGGTTCCATTTTGTGTGTTGAGCATGGCAATCAGTTGTGACGCTCCTAAACTCGTGAGCGGACCTTTGTTGTGAATGGCCAAATTGTAAATGGCGTCCAAAGCATCGGTCGGTGACACTTTGGTCGGTGATGAACGATGAAATTGGAAGTGGATCGCTGTGGAAATGTGATCCAATAGATTTTTACCTACTGGAGCATCCTGTTTCACTTTGATATTATGTTTTTCAAGATGTTCTTTCGGTCCGACGCCAGACAACATCAAAATTGGGGGACTCGAAACTGCACCGGCCGATAAAATCACTTCTTTTTTATTTGTTGCTCGTAGCAATTGTTCGTCTTTGTACAAAAATTCTACTCCAGTCGCCACATTTTCCTCATTGATCAGTATTTTTTGGACGTGCGCATGTTTCACAATGTGTAAATTGGATCGGTTTTTGGCCGGAACCAAATATGCCTTGGCTGTACTTTGACGACGACCATTCGACACGGTTGCCTGAGCGTTTACATATCCCAAAGTGTCATCGGCATTAATATCGTCCACGAATTTTATGCCATGTTCTTGAGCAGCTTCAATCAAAATTTTCGACATAGGATGTAATTCGCCGTAAAAATCGACGGCTAACGGACCTTTGTCACCGTGAAATTTCCCATTCCGATATTTAACAAAGTCTGGATTTTGATTTGCTTCGGATCTTTTCATGTATTTCAATGCATGCTCCCAGTCCCAAGTTGGATTTCCCAATTCAGCCCAACGATTATAATCACGTTCCGTTCCACGCACATAAAACCTAAAATCAAATACCGTCATTCGTTTTTATTTTACTATTGTGATCACTAAGTAGGTAAAACGGCTAAAAAACTCTCTCACATGGCGTTGGTTGCTGAGGATCCACCTAGTGTCTTTCCACGTGGCCAAAAACAACCATGCTGTTGAGCCAAACATGCTGAATCTGATTCGGCATAGAATTCCCAGTCACTTTGTGTCTTTTGGATTGCCTCGTAAAGACTAGGCACCTACAAATGTAACAAATTGAAACGAATTTTTTGTCACGTTTTTTTTGCCAGATAGTTAGATGATGTAGAAGGAAATAATTTGATTTATAATTACCTCAGATTCAATTGGTGGATCGCCTCCAGCCTCTAATAATAAAACTTTCCAGTCTGGGTTTTCACTCAGTCGGCTCGCAACAACGGATCCTTATTAAATAAATATATTCATTTACAAATATATTTATAAAATTCACAAAATAATTAATTGTTTCCTTCCAATTAGCTTGAAGCTAATTACGCCTACCTGATGATCCAGACCCAACCACAATGAAGTCATACGTTAAGTCGTTATTTTCTTTGAAAAAAATAAAATCGAAATGTTTATATCAGTATTGACTCACATGGTGTTGACGTAATTTGATAGCTTATTTAAAGTGAAACATGCAAATGCCATGTGAATCGAATTCAGTGACAACTTGATGCGCTTGAACAATTTAAAATTGATCAAATGTGTCCATTTAAAACTAGTCGTTGGTTCAAACTAACAAAATTGCACAAATGTCAGATTTTTCAAATGTCATATGATCAAATCACGAAAATTCACACAATCACACGCAAACAAACATACACGCACACACACCTGTCGCAGATAGCTTCTCTCCGTAATCCTCCGGCCAGAAATCGGGTGGTGAAATGGAACATTGTGCTGCTAACAATGTTTGTATCAATAATCCAAATAGTTGATTTGCAGCCCCGACACTTTGTGCTGCACATTGTGGTGCTAACCCGTCCATTTTTACACTATTTCTGTTTAAAAGCTACTTTTAAAAAACTGCAAACGAATGCACAGCACAAATCTATACACTTGTTTACTGTTCTAATCATGAAGTGGATGTGCTGGCGTAGAGTGTTTGTCGAGTTATTTTATTCCATGTTGAAGTGTTTAATTGATTTACGACTCAAATATTAGATAGACAATTATCGCATTTCAATGTGTGCCGCATACATTGTAATATTCTGTGAGTGCCACTAAAAAATATCAACACTCATCTAGTGCGTGAGACGCATGGTCTCATTTAGTGAGTAAGACGCATGCGGATGAGATGAATCAAAGCTAAAGAGAAGCAGGCAACTCCATACGAACGAACGATATAGCGCGCATACATTTCGTCACTCCGTCGATAGAATACGGACACAAACACAAACACAAACACGTAGTACCCATTGACTCTATGTTCTAGTTGCGCGCTTCCCTTTCGCTTTGCTTCATCCCATCCGCATGCGTCTCACTCACTAAATGAGTGACCATGCGTCTCACGCACTAGATGAGTGTGGATATTTTTTTAGTGGCACTCACCGAATATTACAATGTATAGTGTGCCGTATGTGTGCGTGTGTATGTTTTCTTACCTATCGAGCTGGCGACCAGTATCACATTAATTTCCACTTGGGAAGTTACAAAACGCCTGAACTTGACACCCTTTATTTGTAAATGCTTCGCATGTCATTGAACTAACCATGCAGTGAAATTCGTTTTTTTTTTCTGCTTTCGTATCACTTGACCAACATTTGTTCGCCGAAATTCTAATTGCAAGTCACTTACAACTAAATGAATTTGCAAAATTATGCCTATGCACATGATCGATTTATATTTACCGGTTTCATGCTCCATTTATAACGCGCCAAACGCATCAACAAGTAAATATCGATGATTTATACAAGAACCAAAGTATATTCATTTCCATTAATATCTGTGATGTCAAACTCATTTGACATATTTCGGGACGCACTCCTTAGAATATAGAGACGGTTTGAATATTGAAAATCGCAGATTTCGCCAGGTTAGAAAAAAATACTAAGCAATGTTTTTGCTTTCAAAAATCATTTCTTCTTCGACCAAATTCTGAGCACAACTTGACAGCGATTCCGCGGTGATTATGAGTTTAATATGCATGAACATCTTGAAGAAGCAACGCAATCAAGTAAATCTTTTTGTGCCAAAGCCTCCCCACCTTTTCTCTCAAAGTCATAAATTTTTTCGCCTAAAGCCATTTCAGAGACTTTTTATCCCAAATTGATGAAATCCGAATACACCCAGGAATCGTTCACTGAATAGTTCGACGTCAACTATCGCATATCTTCCGACATAGTGCGTTTTTGAAATGAACATTTTGGAATGAAAAGTAGGCCCTTTTGGGCCAAAACACTCCACTTTTCCTTCCAAAGTCAATGACTTTTTCACTTGATGTAGCGACATCTGTAGTGAAAATTCATTTGTTCGTCTCCATTGGGTATGTTTCGTCTTGTTTACTTCGACATTTCTTTGCAACAGATATTAATGGAAATGACTACACAAGTGTTCGAACGTGTGGCATAGTGCCACTATCTGTAATCAACGATTTGATTTCGTTTTTCTTCATTTGATACGATTACAGTCGGCGATTAGATTACATTGAAGTTGCACTTCGGATTACCTCGGAACGTGTGGATTTAATAATACAGCAAAGATGAACAATGAGTCAATTTGTTTGAGACATATTTATAGCAAATATGGAAATATTGAGAAAATAATCGGCAAAACGAATATCATATACGAAGTAGTACGGTCATAGTGGGATTTTGTGTATGTGTGGAATGGAGTGAACTAAGTTGGTCTGCGTGCGTTTGGAAGCTAACTGAAGAGCTGTCGCATTCACAGGAAAGAGATACAGACAACCGATAACAGTGCTTATAATTTTTCAATCTCGAACATTGTGAAGTAGAATTGAAGCAGCTCCAAATTGAATGTGTTATTAAGGTGAGACAAGAGACAAAGCCAACGGTGTTGTGTTCACACAGCGCCAAAACTTATCTTATCGTAAATTATTTTCTCTGTTTTTCAACCTCTTTTATTCATGTGATTTTGTTATTGTCTTATTCCCTTTACAATTCATTATCACTAAAGTGGCGTATGTTATACTCTAGCCGCATTTCAATGATGCGAAAACGAATCTGAAGGGCTCATTACGGATTCTCCTTTGAAATTTACAAATCGTCAATAAAAATGACAAAACGGCAATAAAATCGACAAAAAAATTCAACAAAATCGACAACAAATCGAAATAAAATGTAACAAAACAATCAATAAAATTAACATTACGTCCAATGAAATTGCCAGATTGAGAAAATAATTTTGACAATATAGGCAATAGAATTGCCAAATTAGAAAATAAATCTAGCTTGTACAGTCTACAGTATGGTGTACTCGCGCGCTCATTCTTGTGAAACTACTCACCGTTGTTAACCATACCATTTTTCATTTCAAAATAGATAGAAATGATTCAATAAAGAATTTTCGGGATTTTCGGGAAATCAAATTGTTTGATTCGGGATTTTAGAATTCGGGAAATTTGTAATTCGGGAATACAAAAATTCTGTGCCGGTATTCTACGACTTTCCGACAAAATCGTTCGGAATTATTTTTTTCGTACATAAGACCATATTGGAGTGAAAGAGAGAGATTCCACTTTTTTTCAACGGTCCACCAGAATTATTCCGATAATTCAAGGAAGAGTGAAATGTGTGAGAAATAATTCCGGTGGACCGCTGAAAAATAGTGGAATCTCTCTCTTTCACTCCAATATGGTCTTATGTACGAAAAAAATAATTCCGAACGATTTTGTCGGAAAGTCGTAGAATACCGGCACTGGATAATTTTTCCGGGAAAAGACTCTTCGGGAAACAAAATTTTCGGGATTTTTGTTTCGGGAAAAAGTTGTTCCGGGAAATCGTTTTCGGAAAATAGCGAGCGAGAGTGAAGGTTCGGTGCACGGTGCTGACGCTTTGGGGCTATTTTAAATGGGAACTGTCAAGAAAC